ATACATACTGATCGATAAGACATTAGCAGTCATGCAAAACTTTCAATTATAAAGAGTGCTCCGAAATTCCCATGACGTTTGAATTTCGCGCCATTTGTGCAATGAAACATTTGCAAGATTATTAAAATTGAGCACTAAACGAAAGAACATCGAATTTTTATTGTTGATCATTATTAAGTCATTCACTAATCGCGTTATTTCCCCTTTTATTGATCAGAAAAAGCCCTACAGATCAAGAATAATTTAACCTTTTTTTATAGTCTTAAGTTTATGTTTTGGTAAAAGATATATGAAATTTTTCAAAATTCTTTGACGTATTTGGTGTAGAAAGTTTTATTTAACTAACAAAGACTTACTTGGTGTTTTTGTTGATGTTCCCTTTGCTAGTGTATCCTTTTCTTATGCCACCACTGGCGAAGTAATTTTCAAGTCTATATGACAAAATGAAACAATTGATATTGATTAATTTTGACAATATATTAAGATATTGTATAAGAGTTTAAAAGGAATTTTAACACGAAAGAGTTAATAATCATAGCAACATTTTCGGGAAAATGTGTTAACTGGACGCTTGAGACCAGAAAAAATTTACTACTTTTCTTCGAAGAACTCATATGATTGGCAAATAAGTTCTTCGAAGAAAAGTTCTTTTCATACCTTTAAAATATTGTAAATACTAGAAATTTTAAATCTAGCTTAGTGCTTAATGAAAGTTAAAAGTTTTTTTTCCTCCTTTAACACCGCAAATCTAAATTTTAACTCTTTGATGCAGAATATTTATTATACATATTTTCGTACTTTTTTCATTATTTTGTATAAATTATGGTCAAAATAAGTGAAAATATTATATTAAACATTTTAATAATTTATGCTTTTGAAATACAGGGTGAAACAATTGTTTTTTTCCCTATGTTATAGGTAAAAATTACCAAGCACGACTCACTTCCTAATAATTATTTTTCTAGTTTGCAGTTATTATGATCTAAGAAAAACAGTTATTGATTATTAAATTTTCTTTATTTTACAAGATCAATTATTAATAAATTTTTGAATATGATTTAAAAAGAAATTGAAACTACTTTTTTTTGGATTTTTTATCTCAGTACAAATTTAATTATGATAATATGATTTTAAGCAACTATTAGACTGTTTTCTTATAATTATACACCTAAATATATTTTTTCTTGCAATTAGAGCTTTAGAATTATATATATATATAGCCGCGTAACTACCACTACAATTATTAAATACCAATTCACTAGTATGTAAAACAATTTAACTCAATTCATCTTTTGAGCACCTTGTCATAGATGACGATTAGCGTTACCGAAAGCTTACTCTTCTCACATTGGTGACCCGGATGTGATAAGATCTAGTCAACCCCTAACGTAACGTCTGCTTCGAATTGGACACGCCATACATCAATGTGTGGTACTCATTGAACAATTGTAATAGCAACTGCAACCACAAAAAAAGAATTGCAGCAACGAGACAATTAGCTAATGCCAATTGTCGAATTTATTATATAAAATTCTGTCAGGGGAGTACTCTAGCAGCGTTACAACCTCTATATTTATTAAATACCTATTCTCTCGTAAAAGACATGCTAACTCGATTCAATCTTGGGGGAGGGGGAAGATGAAGATTGACATTCTCGATATCTACTTTTACCTCCCACACACATATCAATAAATATATAATTAGGGGGACCGGGAAGTAATGTCGTTTGGGTGCATTTGATATTTGTTATCAAGATCTTATTTTTAATCAATAATGTATTCACCCTCGTTAGCAACAACCTTTCAATGCAGGATCGAAAAAATAAATTGGTTTTTAAGACTAGCGAATATTTTATCTGCCGAAACGACTTTACTTTCCAGTCCCCCTAATATATTAGGGACACCGGTATTCCATCTCATCAGAGGGTTAAAGAAGTTTCTTTCGAAGACTAGGATTTGTAGTGAATCTAATAAAGTATGTATGTATACGATAGACTTGGGTAATAAAAGGGTGTATACATAATGAAGAAAAATGTAATTTATTAATTACTCTTGATCAATCTGTTTTCTCCGTTTCTCGTGAGCCAAACCCACGTGAGGTGTTGCTCGCGCAAATAACACAGGAAGTAAGGTTGGATCTTGTATTCTTGGCTTATCTGGTGAAGGAATCGGAACGCTGTAATAAAATAACCGGATCAATAATTTCTTTAAAGTAAATTGCTCTTTAAAATATTTCAACTTGCATACATTTGCAATATAGACTATAATGTATGATCTTCGTAACCTTTTAAGTCATCATTCGAATTTCAAAACTATAGAAACTTCTATCAATTGATAGATCTGCCTGTTCCAAAAAACTTTTTACGTGTTATTATGAATAATTTTAATGTTCTTTTCTTGGTATGGGTCGTAAATATAGTCAAAACTAAATTATGCCAATGTGCATAGATGCATTGGCACTTAAGTACAAAAATTGATAACCACTTTGAAATTTAATCGCTCGTGAACTTGATTCGTAACTCACGGTTATGATCAATAGGTAACATGTTAAAAGTAAATTTGTGATGTCTGTTTTTGAATCTACTTTATTTCTACAGTAGATTTAAAAACTGATTAAGGATTTTAAACTACTTGATCACCTAACTTTATTTCCGATTGATTCGATATATATTCCTTTCTTTCCCTAATTTTAAAACCCCGGTAAATTTCTCTGTGTAGGAGGATCACAATAATTTATTATTATTAAAAAAAAAAAAAATTCAGTAGAGAAAAAAGTTTTTTCCCTCATTATTTCTATGCATAATAGTATATTTTTAATATATTTAAAAAAAATTATATTTTAATAAAGTCCATTATTTTCCCCTCCAAAATATAGTTTGAATACAAGTTAAAGTTTAAGCAATTTTATTTCCTTTTTCTAAGGAGGAAAAAACAAACAAACAGGGACTCGATTTTTGTCCGTCATTAAAATAACAATAATAAAAAATTACGTTTAATAAAAAATTTATAATAAAATAATAATAAAAAATTGCGTTAAAATAAAAAAATTACGTTTCAAAAGTGTGAGATTATACATACTGATCAATATCAATAGGTGGCAACCTGAAAGAGAGGACATCAAACTCATAAATTTATAAACTAAAAAAGTCAAACCATATATGTTTTTTTAAAAATAGTTTTACAACTCATGCTATGTTTGGTACAACAAATCTCTTTTTTCATGTCACTTGGTTTACTAACAAACAAAATATACTGCAAAAAAATGATGTGTCCCATTTTGTTTCGAAAAACATTTTAAAACGAAATAAATTTATAAACTAGAAAATGTGTTACACCATACCATAAGAGATCACAGCCAGAAACTACACTAAAACATCTGAAAATCCATAAAAAATTCATTATTGATTAAAATTAACGAATCTGTAATCAAAATAAAATTTTTACTTGAACAAAATTTCTTGGGATGTTTTCCTATCATTTAGTTATTAACATCGATTCTAACTTTACACTTTAAACCAATAATTGTTAGATTATTCGAACAAATCAAGTATTAATTTATTTAAATGTTTGTTACATCAATCCGTAAATAGTTTCTACGCTTACACTACGAAATCGGATCATTTTATTTTTTCAAACTTAATTGTTCTGATTATAATTAACACTAATTGAATGCTAGTTCTTCGTGTAAGGTTAAAAAGAAAATTTGCAAAAACTCAATGATACGGTATAATATTAACACAAAGCAATTAAGTACAAAATAAACAACGACCTTAGCAACTTTGACTTACATTTATTTACAACTTCGGTAATTTTTGAGTATCAGGAGTTGACCTCGAACAATAGAAATATCCCAAATGGTACTGAATATAACTAATTTTCGTATAATAAATCATACTTTGTGCTTAATCTTTTAACATAACTGGGAGAGCAACAAGTTATAATAATTAAAGTATTGTTTTAGGCTTAATTAATTGGGTTGATCTTTCAGTTTTGTGTATGATATTATAAAGTTGATCGATACCAATTTATTGATTATTTACGTTATCTAATCATGAAGAGCGGTTATTCAGCTTGTTATTAACAATTTTTTTTAAAATACCAGTACAAAAGAACATATGTCATCAAAATGACTTAGCATTGCATTAATTGCTACTGCCTTTAATTACAGTTATGTGATGTTAATGAAAGATCATACTTCAGTGAATCGTCGTCTCGCACTGCGTCCTCGTTCGTCATTACATTAAACTGGCGACGATCAGCTGCTGGAACAACAGTAGTCCTGAAGAAAAAAACACAAAAGTTTATTAAATATAAAAAAAACAATTTCCCGTATCTTATCTCCTTGAGTGAAACTAGCTTTTTTTTACGTTAAATTGGGAGAAAAACCCTAAAAAAATTTCTCACTGTTCACCCGAAGCCCTTCCCAATGGGGAAATTTGTTTCGTCAGTACAGTGGTCAGTGCAAGCCGTTATGTTTATAATCCTATAAAAAGATGGCAACAAGCCTAATGCAGATTCCAATGATAAGAAATAGTGATAATTATGAATAATTAATCAGAAAGAACATAAAAAATCTCGAAATACATGTTTATAAAAAATATGTGTTTACAAATGTGTGCTGAGGAGGATAAAAACCAGCTTGACATACTTATTCGCATGCTTTTTCGCCCTTTTTTTAAAGCCTTTTATGTTTTAGACACTTTTTATCTTTAAGTTTACCCATTTATCTTTTTAGACGCAGCAAAAATACAGATATGGAACTATGGAAATTTTAAACTTTGATGTTTCAATCATATATATTCCATAATTAGTTCTGCAAAGTTTAATATATAATTTTTTTTTCTCGACTCATGCCTTGTAGCAAACGATAAAAAAAGGATGATTTTAATTATATTTATTTGTGTGGCATTTAAGTGATTGCGTACACATTCGTGAAATTTTCCTTCCAACAATTTAAAAATTTTCTGTTATTGGTCCACTTCGGCCTTAGCATTTTTCAGAGCTTAGAATTGCTTCATTTTTATTATTTTTTTAAATGGATGACAATACGTATTATGAATAATTAATGTAAGAGAGAATCTTCAGATCTCAAGCTACTAAAAGTATGCTTTTAATCTAATTGGAACAAATTTTAAAAGTAAGTTGCATGTGAAGCAGAATAAATGTAAGTAGTAAATATGGATTTATATTACACTATTATTTAATGAAAAGTTACAATAGGATTAAATATTATATTAAACATTATATAGTTTTAAATTTAAAAAGTCTCACCAATTTACTGATAAATATCACCATTTATCAAAGGCATTAGATGATTAGGTAAACTGGCTGTCGTAGCATTGGTAATGCTTAAAGGTTTGCTTTGTTGCGAGTATATACCAATTTTTGTAAACTTTTTTAAAACGTTATTTTCCCCACAACTTTTTTTCTTTTAATTAATAAAAATTTAAAGAAACATTATATTAAACAAGTAAAAAAAAATTTCGTGGAATTTAAGCATTTTAAAATTAATATAATTCTTCATAAGTTATCATGAAAAAAGAAAAAACAATTTTCTATTTTTAACATTTAACTATATCCTTTCCTGTTGCAAAAGTTTAATTGATTAAACTTAAAAGAATGAGTTACTAAAATGAATGAATGATATCTAAACAAATTATAAAAACAAACATACCGTCCTGCTAAATTTGCACCTCTCTTGCAAGAAAAGCACCTGAAAAACAAAAATAATTCTAGCAAATAATTCGATACGACATTGATAACTCAATGTTTCGGATGATAATAAGAATGACTAATCCATTTGTTAGTTTTTTTTTTCATGTAATCCAAAAGTTTGATCGAGGAGATTTTTATTCGGCTACTTGCCAAATTGGCTTCCAAACTAATATTTTCCCATAACGATCAGTAAGTTCTCCTAATACTAATTCTGATATTCTAAACAGAAATTCCTTTTCTCAGCAAATCTTCATTGTCACTTTGTCCAAGTTTTTATTAATTTATCACCAACACTGAACAATCAATTTTCATAAAATTTGATGGTAATAATGTTTCGTAGCTTTCTAATTTTGAACCAAACCCATGAGAACTCATGGAGACTGTGAAAAATTTGCCCTTAATGGAGAACATTTTGAGTGAAACTAGTCAACATTTACGTTGTGTGGAGAGAAAAAACTCTGGAAACCTACATTAGTTCAGAATTCCTTTGCCCCGATGGCAAGGGAATTTTAACCCAGGATTCATCTACCACTGAGGAAATTTTTGTCAGCACTGTATAGTGCTGACAAAAATTCCACGTGGTCTGTGCGAGCCGGGAGCTGTGTCGAATTTTTTAGTCATTGTTAGGATTTGAACATGGGTCGCTTTTTTGGGTGGTGGGGACCAAGCCATTCCAGCTAACTTCAAACCAGCTTTTCTTGCGTCTCTGTACTTTGTAGTCTTGTAATTTTGAACGCAAACCAGACAAAAAAGTGGTTTTTGCTTTAATAAGACAGTGTCCCCAGTTAGAACAACAAAAGATTTCCAATGGCAAGGGCCCATGCCTTCGTTGGCTCTTTGGTGAGGCTGGATCAGTATACAAATTTTCCAGCCATTGCTGAGATTTGAACGTGGGTCTCTTCATAAGAAGGTGAGCGTTCTATATCCTCTGAGCCATTTCGGCTTACTGCTCGACGTTATTTCAAAATGGTGATCTAGCAACAACAAAAAAATTTCTATTGTGTTTTCAAACCTTCGTCCTTTTGAAGGCGATCGCATAGTGATAAAAATAACACAACAATTAGATTAACAAAATTTATCGAAAAAACAGGTAGAAAGCTGGATTTTTTAACAGAGGACAAGATTTTGACAATTCTGTTAATCGGTCTCGCTATATTTCTCCTTAGCTTTTTAAGACGTTTGTTAAAACTGTATTATTAATGTTTTGAATTCTGCATTCCAAAATCTACAGAAAGAGTTTTGTACGATATGAATTTTTTTTTTTCGCTTTTTCATTTAACAACAGTCCGAAGCATAACTAAACAAAGATGAAGATAGTTACTTAAGAACACCAGGAGCATCAGGCAACAGGTGTGCTAAGGCGATTTCTTTAATCCTCTCTTGCTCATAGAGCATAGCTTTTATTCTATTACGGATGGGCTCAGTAGCAGTGATAAAGTCCTCTGTATACATTTTAAGAGAGAGCTCATGGCGAACTTTTTTGAAACTGGTATTCATCTCTTCTTCCTACGGACGCAACGACATAACATTGTAATAGCAAAAAATAAGATGTATTTCTTTGCTATAATATTTAAACGCACGTTTAAAGCACCTACTTAATACCTTGTCTGCTTTAATGCTATTAACTTTTTTAGCCCTTTTTGCTAGTAAGCAGGCAATTTGCTAGTATGCAGACGAGACGTGTGAGAACGAAATGATACGTCAAAAACAAAGTATATGTAAAGACTAAACAGGAAATTTATATTACGTCAAAAACAGGTAGTCCAAAATATTATATCACGTAATATTACGTTAAAAACAGGTAACAGAGGTTAAGATTGATTTTTACTACATAGATGGCATTGATTATTGTACTAATAATTAATTGAGAATCATTGAAATACTACATAAGCATCTAACGGAGAAAGGGATTTATGATTTGCTAATTTTTCAGACAAGGGGGGGGGTGAGATATGAACAATGCTTACGTAACACATTTTTTTAAGAAAATATTTTCAAATTCTTTCTTAAAATGCAAAAAAANAAAAAAAAAAAAAAAAAAAAACATTTATTGAAACTTTCGGAAAAAATACGGTAGATTATTGATTTGAATTCAATCCTATAAATTTAAATTAATTCAGTATTATTTGCTTATTTCTGATGACAAGATTGGAGGGAGAGTCCGAAATTACGTAATATTTGAATGTTATCTGGTGTGCGAAACTTAAGCAACAAGTGGTTTTTCGGCCACAGCTCCCCAACAAAGTATAAGATAGCCATGAAGTTGCAGTATAATATGCACGTAGTTCAGTAGAAAGATTATTTGTATGCAAATTTTAGAAATAAAACGTCGTAGGTGATGTAAGTGTACGTAAACCTTGTGGGTCGGCGCGCNTTAAACATGTAATTTTAAATGTGTTTAACACACTCCAAGAAAGAAAGTAATTTCGTTAACTAAAATTAATTAATGCAGCAATTTATTTAAAATAAATTTTAAAACTAAGAAAAGAAAATATTAAAAGTATCAATCATTTAAAGCACTGTTTTTTAACTTTTAAAATCAATATAATATATATATAAAAATCAGTTGATTTAAATCAATGATTTTTTTAAAAAAATCATTTGATTTTAATCATGATTTAAATCGTGATTTAAATCAAGCTGATTTAAATCAACGAACCCTGATATTAAACAAAGTTAAATTATATTAAACATTATACAGTTTTAAATTAAAAAAACCTCACCAATTTACTGATAAATAACACCATTTATCAAAGGTATTAGATGATTATGTAAACGGGCTGTCGTAGCATTGGTAATGCTCGAAGATTTGCTTTGTCGCGAGTATATATAAATTGTTGAAAAAAATCTTTAAGACATTGTTATTTTCCCCACAACTTTTATTCTTCCAATTAATAAAATTTTTAAGAAACATTATGTTAAATTAGTAAAAAAGAATTAGTGGAATTTAAGCATTTTAGAATTAATATAATTCTTCATAAGTTAACATGAAAAAAGAAAAATCAATTTTCTGTTTTCAATATTTAACTATATCCTCCTCCTGTTGCAGAAGTTTAATTGATTAAACTTAAAAGAATGAGTTACCATAATGGATGAATGATATGTAAATAAATTATTAAAAAAAACATACCGTCCTGCTAAATTTGCACCTCTCTTGCAAGAAAAGCATCTGAAACAGAAAAATAATTCAAACAAATAATTCGATACGTCATTGATAACTCAATGTTTTGGATGATAACAGGAATGACTATTCTATTTCCTATTTCTCAGTTTTTTCCACTTGTAGTCCAAGAGTTCGATTGAAGGGATTTTCATTCGGCTACTATCCAAATTGGCTTCCACACTAACATTTTCCCACAACAATCAGTAAGTTCTCCTAATACTAATTCTGACATTCTAAACAGAAATTCATTTTCTCAGCAAATCTTCATTGCCACTTTGTCCAAGTTTTTATTACTTTATCACCAACATTGAACAATAAATTTTCATAAAATTTGTTGTTAATATTGTTTTGTCGCTTTCTAATTTTGAACCAAACCCATAAGACATGAGAACTCCTCGAGACTGGGAAAAATTTGTACTTAATGGACAACATTTTGAGTAAAGCTAGCTAACATTTACGTTGTGTAGAGAGGAAAAACTCTGGAAACCTGCATTGGATTAGATTTCTCTTGCCCCGATGGCAAGGGAATTTTAACCTAGGATTTATCAACCAATGTGGAAATTTTTGTCAGCACTGTACAGTACTGACAAAAATTCCACGTGGTCTGTGCGAGTCGGGAGCTGTGTAGAATTTTTTAGTCATTGTTAGGATTTGAACATGGGTCGCCTCTTTGGGTGGTGAGGGCTCTATCCCTTGAGCCACCCCAGCTAACTTTAAACTATTTTTTTGCATATTTTTTCCATTCATATCGGATTGGAGGTTACATGTACTCTGTAGTCCTGTAATTTTGAGCGCAACCCATACTTTAACGCAACCGCATGCTTTAAGACAATGTCCCCTGTTAAAACAACGAAAGATTTCCAATATCAAGGGCCCATGCATTCGTTGGCTCTTTGGTGAGGCAGGATCAGTATACAAATTTTCCAGCCATTGCTGAGATTTTTGAACGTGGGTCTCTTCATAAGGAGATGAGCGTTCTATATCCTCTGAGCTATTTCGGCTCACTGCTCGACGTTATTTCAAAATGGTGATCTAGCAAATAAATTTTTTTATTGTGTTTTCAAGATCATGAAGGCGATTGCATAATGATAAAAATAACACAACAATTACATTAACAAAATACGAGTAGAAAGCTGGATTTTTTCATAGAGGGCAAGGTTTCGACAAATGTGTTAATTGGTTTTGCTATATTTCTCCTTAGCTTTTTAAGATGTTTGCTGAAATTGAATTATTAATGTTTTGAATTCTGCATTCCAAAATTTACAGAAAGAGTTTTGCACGATATGAATTTTTTTTTTTTTTTTTTTTTTTATGGAGTCTTGCTCTTTTGCCCAGGCTGGGGTGNTTTTTTTTTTTTTTTTTTTTTTTGCATTTTCATTTAACAACAGTTCGAAGCATAATTAAACAAAGTTGAAGATAGTTACTTAAGAACACCAGGAGCATCGGGCAACAGGTGTGCAAGAGCGATTTCTTTAATCCTCTCTTGCTCATAGAGGATGGCTTTTATTCTATTACGGATCGGCTCAGTAGCAGTGATAAAGTCCTCTGTATACATTTTAAGAGAGAGCTCATGGCGAACTTTTTTGAAACTGGTGTCCATCTCTTCTTCCTACGGACGCAACGACATAACATTGTAATAGCAAAATAATTAGATATATTTTTTTGCTATAATATTTAAACGCACGTTTACTGCTCCTACTTAATGTGTTGTCTGCTTTAATGCTATTAGCTTTTTAGCCCTTTTTATTAGTAAGCAGGCAATCATTGCTATTTCCTAGCGTGCAGGCGAAACGTGTGAGAACAAAATGATATGCCAAAAACAAGAGTATATGTAAAGACTAAACCGGAAATTTATATTACGTCAAAAACAGGTAGCCTAAAATACTATATTACGTTAAAAACAGGTAGCAGAGGTACCTGTTATAAAAATACTTACATTTACTTTCACTACAATTGTTAAATGTTTTAGATCGTCCTTGACTTCTCTAATAGCAGCAACAAATTCGTTCCGATCCAACTTGTTCGACACCATTTCAATATCTGCTTTCTAAAATTCGATTACATTGAAGTTACAAATATTGTCATGTAAAAGAGAAATTTAACATTTACTGAAACTGTAAAAAAATACGTCAGCTTAAGGAAATAGCTTAAATTTTAAGAATAAAAATAAAATAAAAATGTAAAATGCTGAATGAATATTTGATTGATATATAGTTCACACGTATGGATGAAAGATTAGGTTAAATCCTGGAGTTCGCTCAATAGAGTCCATACGCTAGACGTATGTTCTTTATAAAACTGTTTTCCTTTATTCAGGGTGTAAAAGATGTTAGGGAACGAAATATCTCGAGAATCGCACATCGGATCAAAAATCTGAAAATGTTCATGTAAAATATTTTCAATGATAATAAACTCGACCCACAACCTTACCCCTTGTAGTACGGGGGGTGGTCAACTTCAAATTTAAATCGGAACATTTATTTTTCATTGCAGTTTTGTATTTTCCAGTAAAGTGTTCTATTTTACATATGGATTGTTACATTTTGGTTCATAAGTGAAGCTGCAGATATCTTAAGAAATATAGACATCAGATAAAATAAAAAAAACTTCTTTTATATATTGATGTAAGATGATAAGATACATGACTCCTTACTGATTAGTCTTACATTTTTCTGTACACGACATTTTAATTTGAATTTGGGTTAATGTTATCATTTTCTTAAATTTGTTTATAATAAAATATACAAATTAATTCAATGCAGCTGTTACATATTTAAGGGAGAGTTAGAATACATTATAAGAAATTGAAAATGGCACAACAACTTACGGCGAGAAATATTATCGTACGCTTTTAAAGAGGTTATCCTAACTGTCTATGCGTATTTGAACTGAAACTTTTGTTCAACTAAATTATCTTAATTTTACGTTTTCTGATAAAATTGTTTAAAATTGCATTCGAATAGGCCTAGAAATAGCTGTTGCAAGGAAATTGGCCCCAAATTAATGAATTTTTCTGCAAGCTAGTCCCCATACCAATGAACTACGGTAAAACAGTAAAGTATGAGCAGTTTTCGACAATAATTATTAGAAAAGATAATGAATTTAAGATAATTTAAATGAATAAAAGCAATGATTCAGATGTACACGATTAGTCTGGACATGATAAGGAAGCAAACGTAGTTGCGTACATTTCAGGCCATGGAGTGCTACGATGCATTTCTCAATCCTAATGATAAGCCTTAACTTTCTAAGTTTCTAACAACTGCTACGAATCACCCGGTATATAACAATTAATACATTCATAAAATAAATCGATTTTTGAATCTACCTCAATAGTATTTTACGCTCTTAATTCTAAGTGCCCGATCCCATATCATTGGCATTTTACAACTTATTCTTTGAATCGAAATCACTTACCGACTCCAGTAGCTCAGACAATTTTGCTTTATCTACTTTTGTTAATTCCAATCTGACAATTGCGTCTTTTAAATCCTGTAATAAACGTTATCATATCACTTTTCAACTCATGAAAATAATAATGTTTAATTTTTTATATGATGTAAGATAACTAACTTACTACTATGATCTTAAACTTGGTTCTTGCTTCTTTTTCGAACTGTTCGGTTGATGATTTTAAATCACTCTGTTTCTCCGTCAAAATATCAATTTGTTCTTCCAAACGAGCAAAACTATCATTAATCTAATTTGTACAGATGAGAGCATTTAAAATACAAATATGATAAGTGAAAGCACTTATAAATAAATATGAAAGATAGCTCAGAAATATAGCTGAGCAATAAATAAATATTCACTTTGATTCATTAATATCACTAAACTGTTTAGTAAAATTATGCACAATTTAGCTAGTGGCATTAATATTATTCACCTAAATTCATCCAAACTTTATTTTTTTAATTTATGTAAAAAATTAAACAAAAATCTAAAAAAAAATATTTATTAAAAAATACGACATTAATTTAATTGTCTTATTTTCATGAACCTTTTTTTCCGTCTACCAAAAAGAACACAACCGAATATAAAGTTAAATAATATTATGGAAGGAAAAAAAAAAGGATTGAGTTTAATGGCAAGCACATCAGCAAAACAAGATCAAGTACGTAGCCCCGTTTCTTAGAGCTCTATCTTTTCACAATCATAGTAAGAAAACTATGTAATTGCGACCCGTTAGAGACGATGTGGGCAGCTACTGATCTGGTAGCCCTCTTTTTAATTTTCCATACCATAAAATACGAGAGAACTTTCAGCTATGACAAGTGATCCTTCTTAACATTCACCCTGCTGTGTATACACGATGGTTGTTTAGTTGACTGCCGGAATCGAACTCACGATCTTCAGATTTCTAGCTCTTTGATGTCGCAAATTGTTTTAAAAATTTGAGTCAATGATGAAATTTTTGTTAAAAAAAAATACACATCTTTCAACTCTTCTGCTATGAACAATAAAATACCGGGTGAGCCGCGTAATCACCACATTAAATATATATTGATAGAATCGTTGCCTAAAATGAAGTCAGAATTAAATACGTTGGGGGAATCGTAAATTAATGTTTCAGCGTGGGAAGAACAAAAATGTTTAAAAAAACTATAACGGATCACATATGAGGAGATTTTATATGCAAAATAATAAGCATGAAAACCCATTTGATTGTTAGAGGAAGTAGAGAGGTGTTTAAAAGCAGTTATAAGAATCATATTCAAGTTTTATCAGACTATCATATTGGTTTTAATTTTTTTAATCACAACTTGCTTAACAGTCTTTAGTCAGATTTCGATAAAATTTTTGATTTTTCCTACCTTAAATATTATGTTATTACCATTCATACATATCTAATTTAGACTTTATTTCGGACAAAGATTGTAAAAATATATTAAATTTACGACATTTTTGGACCATTTTTCACAAAAACTATTAATTACTTTTAAATTTACTAAGACTACTTGAAGTATTTTGTATTAGATTACACATTGTACTTATCATTATAAATTTAGTTTAAACTCATAATTTTTCCTTCGAATTGAACGAAGTAAAACAAACACATATCATTATTAAAGCAGTAATATTTAATTGATTTCAAACGTTGTTTGGAGTTAAAACTTGCTTTAAAATTATTGCGAAGCAAAATTGAAAATTTGTCAACAGCAACATATAGAGGGATAAGCTTCTTTATAAGATCAACTTTTTTGTTTTTCATCCATTAGTGCAGCTGGTTCAAACATTTCTTAGTAGGAAATGATTTTTTTTTAACTTCACTTTGGAAAAATCTGTATAATATAGGACTTTAATCAAGATATTATTTTATACTATTGTCTTACCAAAAAAATCTTTCAAAATGTGCTTACATAAGCACACAACAAACAAAACGAAAAAAGGTGAAAGTAAATAATGAGTTATCTTACATCATCAGCATCAAGTAAATCAAGTTTCATCCCCATTATTTCGAGGGTACTTCTCACATCTGTAAAAGATTCATCGATAGACTTTAAAATTTCTTCGTCGATTCTTTTGATTAAATTGTTCAAACCTTCTTCTAAATCCGATTCCTGAAATCAAAATTCAAATAAAAGTTATTTCATGATCATTTAATATTTGCCCTACTTAATTACATATTATTCCAAAGTAAGTGAGTATGTTGCAAGCGGCATTCATTTCCAATAAGTTTTTACGGAACAATTTCGTTTATTTTAGAAAAAATAGGCTTTAACTTTTCGTTTTCAACCCCAAGAATATTTTTGAAAAATATTGTTAGTTAATTATGTTAAGTTATTTTGAAAAAACAAAAGCTTAAAAAAATCACCTTCAATTTATAGCTTTTTTGTTGAAGAATATTATTTAAACTTTCATCATTACAGTCAATTTAATATATTTTTTGTAAATTATATTGACGTTTGATTTTAAAATTTAGATGCCGAAGGGAATTTTACAATACTTTAAGGTGAAATGCTTTTAGATGTTGAGGAGTAGTTTCTTTTTACTTCAAATAATCATAAAATAATTAATTTAAATATATATAGTTTTTGAAATTTTTTTATAAAAAATAAATGAGTGATCTTTTAAAAAAAAACTTTGCGTATAAATTTGTTTCCGAACTTTATAACATTATAGTGGACTATATAAATAAGTAAAACTTATGACTACAAAACCGTAAGCTACAATGCGTAAAAAATTCAAGACCACTAAGGATTTTATTTTGGAAGAGGAAGCATACAAATTTAAATTTTATCTTTAAACACATTCCGTTAAAAATTAACTAAAATTTTATCAAAATTTCGAGGAAAATGACGATCATAGTAAGTCATTGGGAATCTAACGAAACGCAAAAAAGTGTTTTCTCACAAAATAAAAATTTTGATAAATTTGCCAAATATAGAAAAAGTATGATAGCATAAAGAATAGTGCCAAAACATATTAAATACGTAAACCTTTCTTTTTTAAATCTTGGACAATATTTATAAATTATTTTATTATTTTAATTAAAAAAACACATATATAGCAGAAGTATTCCCTAGTATTTGTCTAAAAATAAAACAATTCAATAAACTTAAAAATTTAAAAAGGGAAATTTTTTCAAACATCACCCATGTTAACGTTATGAATAATGCTTTTACTTTCTCACTGTCGTCTTTAAACATACTCCTTGTATAATTGGATACTTACAACTCAAGAAGAGTTGAAATTATTATGCCTAACCATGTGATTTAAATCAGATTTAATTAAATATCTGTAAGTGACGTCACACGCGTTTGCCAAATCTGATTGGCTTCTGAATCGAAAAATACCACTTGTTACCTACGGTGACGTCATTTGCAGCTTTCTTATTTATATCAGTTGAGTTCATTGTCTCTTTCTGCTAAAAGAGTCGCATAATTAGGGAAATATTGCGTATTAGGCACCTTTCCTTTCTTAGTTTTTCTAAAAAAGTGATGTTTTTGTTTGTATTTTTGTTAAACCATATAACCAATTACTAAGGAGTCGGGATAGCCATTTTCGCAGGGCGCTAGCTGGACTCCTGTTTTTTAAGAACGGGAGTTCGAATCCAGTCAGCCGAAGACTCTCCGTGTAGTAAATGGTGACTTGTGCACATTAAACCTGTCGGATCCCAAAGTCCTCCATGTTCCCATAACAAATCAATTCCTCAAGGGGTACTGGATCGTTCTCTGGTTCAGGTCAAAATTACGATCTGTAGATTAATGAATGCATGTATGAAGATCCGCCCTATAAACGGGTGTGACGTATGGGTGTGGTAGAAGTCGAGTTCTTGGTCATAAATGGCACCACTGGAAACAAGAACCTCCTATGCCTTAATGGCCTACGACGTCAACAACCAATTACTAAAATTAGAGCAATGTTTTGTCACAAGTAGGTTGGGAACTTAAATAAAGAAAAAAACTGATTTAAATGCCTATTCAATTAATGACGCTCACCATAACAAATAAAAAATCAAAACAAAATTAAACGATATGGAAGGGATTTTATTAGAATGTAAGAACATAAAAGTGTCTTTCGATGAGCTAAAATTTCGAAACATTTCAGCAAAAGAAAAACAAAATGTTGCTACATCCGGAAGGTTATAAAATCAAAATTTAGAAAATGGCAAGAAACATTGGATTTATTGAAGAAGTACTTCAGAGAAGAAATGCTAAACTATGCTAGAATTGTTGGATCACGAACTGAAACGCTGGACGAGAGGACATTTCATTTTTCAATTAAAGAATGGATTCACACGATATGAATAACAATAGATCAAAATAAAATTAAATCTAGTTTTTTATTATGAACTAACACTAATTTTCACGTGAAAAGTCTTAAACGTTGTAAACAAATTTAAGTATGAACAATAGATGTTCACCCTTATAAAAATGTCTGGGCATGGTTATAGCCGTATTAATGAAAATGATGACTCAACAATACAGGTGGTCATGATGAAGTCACCATTTAGTGTAATGATTTCATTTAACAAAGTTGCATGAGTAAAAAAGAATTTAAAGGTTACGTAATTATTTTCCCTCACCGAAATTTTCAGTTCCTCTACATCTATCCGAAGATTCTTTTGTTCTGCAATAAGTTTTTCAATAAAGCCTGGCTCCACTGCAAAAATAAAAGTACAAATTATTTCATTATTTATAAACTCCGGGCTAATCAGCTGTCTTGTTATTTGTAGTAAAGCAAAAATTCTTTTCAAAGGATAATTATTAATTTTTTATAGCTTTTAAAACAGAAGCTTTAACTGTTACTTTATTTTTTAATTTTCAATTTTTTTTTCTTTTTTTGTAATTTAGCACTAAGTGTTTAAGTTAGTGCAATCAAAATTAATACATTAATGGAATCTCGAATTTGTATGGTTAGGTGAAAAAATATAATTTCTTAAAATTCCCAACCGAAGCAATATTTCCAATACAATATTATAACATTTTGTTAAAGTCATCAACTGTAATAAATTTATGGCTAAAATGAACTAGCAGTTATTTTTATTAGTCCCAAGAATAACTTTCTGTAGCAGTTAGCGAGTAGAAAAAAATTCGAAGGTGTAATTGACGCCTGCTCATAGACTATTATAGGAGAGCTTGTCTCCTCATGAGGTGTCCTAGATTAAAATTCCGGTAATGGTTGGTTCATTGATGTATTACTCCGAGCTTACCGCGATCACTGTGCTAATCTAAAAAATCCTTAGTGGTAGAAGGATAATGGGTTCGAGTCCTTTTCGTCAGGCTAACCACACAAGTTTTTGTTGTTTTCCTTTTCCATGTTACGGATATGCACTTACGCATTAACATTAAAGTAAAAACTTAGTGCACACATGTTGACACATGTTGTTATGTTCTTAGACATATGTTATTATGTTCAAAGTATTAAACTAAAACTTCTTGTGCATACTTTAAACAGAGTTGTTTTCAGCGTGCTTGAGTGTTTTATTTAAATCCGATCATAAGGTCAAAAGTTATTTAGGATATAATATTTCCTACTTTTGGCACAACGTCAAAAAAAACGAAACTCGTGAATAACTTTTGATAATATAGTTGGATTTTCACGAACTGAAATGCAACATTAATAATTCAAGGAGTAAGTCAAATATGCTAATTAACTAGGAACAGAAGGGTCTTTAGTTAAATAATTAGTACTTATTTTTAAAAAGGAAATCGGACGCGATGACCTATTTTCTCTGTTTAAACATTCGTTTTTTTTTTCGATGTTCGGTTATAAATTCGGTTTTTGCCCTCAAAATATTAGGGTGGCTGCAATCTGGAAAATAGGTCTTAAATGGCTTAATCACAAGAGTGATTGACATTTTAAGCTCTCAAATGTGAATTTTAATTTTTGCCTGTTTCGAAATGTATTTTAAAGTTTTGTACATAATTTTAAAAGTTAGTTTTTTTGAATTATGTGGATGAATTTTGATTTTTTATGAAGAATTTAATCTTTTCTGTTTTAGTTGTTTTTTCTTGCAGAAACATTTTAAGTATCGAAGAAAAAAATAGCACAAAGAGCATTATGAACATCACTTCGAAACTATAAGGAACTCTTTTGTTCAAAAAGACGCTTGTTTATGTGAATAATCAATTCGAAAGTTGAAACATATCGAAACATGATCCACCGGCTCAGTCTTACAAAAGTCATTCATTGTTAGTAATGATCATCCAAAACTTTTAGTTGACTCACTTAACTGTCCTAAATCTTCTCGATTCACTTTGATTTCCTATAAAAAAAAACATATTTTTTTATTATTAAATAATAATATTAATATGGTGACGAGGAAAAGGAAAACAATACTAACATTCAAATTATCTACTCGTGAAACTATTTCTGCAATATCTTCCTTGGGCGTGATTAGGTCTTCCACCTCTAGAATCTAAAAACACAAAAAGAGATGATGTACTATCTTAGAGATCAGCTGCTAAGTGATTAATGACAAAACTGTAATCCCTCTTCTATAAAAATTTTTTTTAACCCCCTGAAAGTTTGTAAGCAAATGAAGTATTAGATAACTCCGCAATCATTTCATATGTAGTTTTAGAAAATAATTATGTACTGTGCGCAAAATAAAAAACTGACCACCCTAAATAACTTTTGATCAAATGATCACATCCTCACGTTCTTGATGGAGCGAGAGATGGAGGGAGTGACCTTAAATATACTTAATCGAGCAGCGGTGGCTCAGGGGATAGAACATTCGCCTTCTAATGATGTGAGCAGAGTTCGAATCCCAACGATGGCAGGTTGATACGAATCCGCATCCGGCTTGCACCGAACACAGTGCTGACGTGAAATATCCTCAGTTTCGGATTATGGGTTAGAGTCCTTTTGCCGTCAGGCTAACAGTGGGAGGTTCTCGTGGTCTCCTTCATGTAACGCAAATGCGGGTTAGTTCCATCAAAAAGTCCTCCAAGCAAGGCAAATTTCTCCCAATGCTTGATCCAGAAGTTCCCTTGTCTTCTGGATTGGGTTCAAAATTACAAGGCTACGGAGTTAAACATTAATAGTCGTTAACCCGAAAATTGGGTCGATTGTTCAACGGTTATAAAAAAATATGCCGATTAATTAATGGAGATTCGGATTACGGAATCCGACACAAAAACGTACTTTCCCTGAATAAACATACCCTTTTTTTCAACGGATTCGGATTTCTGACCCACGAGATATCTTGCAATCTGGGAAATATGGTCACCATAATTTGGTTAGGAGAGCGATCCAAAGTTAGGACACCATGTTAATTTTACTTTTTGCGTACTTCGCCATACATCAATTTCTTTTTTTTTTTAAATGAATTGAAAAAAAATTCACTCACTTATGAAACTCGTTTGTTCAAATATAATAGCTTGCAAAAATAAGTTTTAGTTAATATTTATAATTTTTTATTATTTTATTTCAGAATAGTCAAGAAAGTTTGTATGCTAAAATAATAAATTTTTTGCATATTTTTAAAGTACGTAATTTTACATTGCAAATTACGAAATTTGAGAGAAGTTGGTTGGAATAGTTCTAGAAAAATATATTTTTAAAATAGTCTTATATTTAATATTCGATTTCTCAGGAGCTATTTAACCGATTTTGCTCAAATCTTATATTTTGCCATGTAAAATTACATACTTTAAAATGATATAAAAAATTGTATACCCCAATTCAAATTTTATTGGCTATTGTTAAATAAAATAATAAAAAATAATAAACATTTACTAAAATTAATTTTTATCAAGTAATTATCTTTCGACAAACAATTTTATATGTAAAAAGTGAAATTTACATTGAGGGTTTCAAGCTTTGGACCGTTCTCCAGACCAAACTATATAGACCATAGTTCCCAAATTGCGGCTACCCCCTATAATTAGGGGTTAAAAATCCGAATCCGTCAAAAAAAAAAAAAAAAAAAAAAAAGGTATATTTATTTAGAAAAAGTACGCTTTTGTGGTTGATTTCGTAACTTTAAACATCGTTTGCTCTAGTTAATTAGCAAATTCGCTGTTATCCTTTCAAATCATCATGAATGAGTCCTAGAACGTGAAGATACGATCAATAGATCAAAAGTTATTTAGCGTGGTCCGTTAATTATTTTTCGCACTGAACACAATTGTTTCATAAGTTGTTTAAAAAAATCCTATGCATGAGTCATGAGTCATTTCATGTGTAATTTGAAAGATAATTAAACTGCTGTTTGTAGAAAATGCAACACCATGAAGGAATCATCAGAATCAAATGAAATATTATTTTAATAATGGAT